CCCCACCCGAGGCTGAAGGTCAACAGACGATCATGCTAAGCTTGCTAACTGTTCCACCCTCTGACTGCTGCAGGGGCGTGTCTTAGAGAGAGGCTTTTATGCCAGAACACAGCCGCTGTGACGAAACCGTGGAGAAGACACGTCACCGTGGAGAGCCGTTAACCAATATGCAAATTAGCCTGCAGTACCACTGCTCTACCCATATGAGCAGCAAAAACATGTTTTTAGACCAAATATTACAGATTTGGAGAAATACGCACAAAAACATCAAAATTAGCACAGAAACAAGTACTATATAACATTTTAGACACATTCTAGACAGTTTATCAGCTAAAAAAAGGTAATTTTGGGGTAAGTTACTCTTTAAAGATGACATTTTCTGTAAACATTTGATCCAAACCTGTTACTGTGGGTTTGCTTTCAGATTGTTCTCTGCTCTCACACAACAACACTTCCATTGTGGGTGTTTTTATGCACGGCTGAACAAACAGCACAACGCACGACTAAAACCAGCTAATTGAACATTTTCTAAAGTGTGTCAGAATAGATCAGGTGTTCCCTGGTTGCATGAAAAGCTGCCTTGCTTCATTTGTTTTGTTGTGCACAAATGTGAAAATGTGAATAAATAAACTGCAAGTGTAAACCTCAGTTTGTTGTTTTTAAAATGGTTTTTAAACTGCTGATCAAGACCACTTTATAAAAGGAAAAAAATAAAGAAATGACGGGTGAACCAGGACTTTACTGTAAATAAAATAAAACAAAAACATCATCGTGGTTTCTTTCACAAATCTGAAAAGTTGAAACGTCAGCAGCTCGTTTGGTTTTATGAGTTGTAATTAGAAAGTGTTGACACGTCTCTGGTTCTCCTGTCTGCCGGCGTCCCCGTTTCCTGGGGAGCGCTGCTGCTGCCGTGACTCACCTGTGAAAGCCCAGAGGTCTGCTGCTACAAATCTGCTCTCACCTCGTAAAGCGGCTTCATGAAGACGGGTCGGTGTTCGTTCATGTCCAACACCAGGATGAGGGCCTGCAGAGAGGAGGAGGAACACATGGAGGCTGAGAGAAGAAGGAAAATATGGAAAAGCTTCGAAGAATCAGAGCCTGCTGACTGAAGGTTGGATTATTAGTAAAGATATGGATCAGAACTGTTTTATTCTTTGTTTGTCTGTCATCAGGTTTACTTTGCATTTATGATTTTAAACTGACATGAACACGTCACCATTTTTCTCAGTAAATATATTACTAGAGGTGYTAATGACATGAAATTTTCACCAGATGT